GACTGGCAAGGTTTCCTTTTATTAATAATAGAAATTATAGAGTTGAATTCTGAAATGAGTGAAAACAAACCCTATAATCCCACTATGGCAAAGTTCATGTTTACTGTTTTGGGTTTTTCTACAATAGCTTTTAAATAATTCAGTGTGATTTGTTTTTTGTTTTGTTTGTTTTGGGGTTTTTTGTGTGTAACAAAGAACACCTAACCAGCATGATCTTAAAAAAGAATTGAACCCTTGATAACACTGAAAAATAATGAAACTTTTAAATCCTCCAGAATGTGAAGGACTGCTCAGGGATTATAACTAACGCATTTTATTCTTATGACTTGCTGATTCCACCGACAGCTGCCTTAGGGTGTAGTTCTAATCAATGGCTTATCCACTTGGCAATCTATACCTCAGGAACACAAATCGGAGAAAACCATCAATGTGTAAAAGAGACCTATAAATCAGAACGTCAGGTGGCCATAGTTCCATTTTAATAACTAGTATTTAGAGATTATTGGATAAAACATTTCATGGACACAAATTTATGGCCTTCATATCCCTCCAGGATGCCATTACATCCCTGTGGGAATATGACAGCCTTTGTTATTTTCTTCTAACAACAGGGGTTAGTGACAGGAGAGCAAACTGCTGGCTTCTCTCTCCTCATTCAAGCTTTTAAATCACTTACTGGAGGCTTCCTTTTCTAATGCTAGTCATAGAGTCTCCTTCTCTTTTCAAGTGTGCGTATCTATATATGTGCAAATATTTGCTTCCATGGGCTCAAACCCGAGAAGTACCCAGCATGCTGGCAAGTTTCTCTGTGTGGATATCTACATGCATGACTGGCACTATTTTCACAAGAATCAATATAGATAGCAAATAAGCTAAGTGCAAGGAAAAATGTCACTTTCCATTCTTTTTCTCTTTTATGCTACCAACATATCCTTCATATATGTTTGAAGTGTGCTGTTTAATTCTCCCTTCCTTTAAAAAACTCCTGTGGGTCGTTGTGAAAGGTCAGAACCAAGAGCAACTGCATCAGTGGAGGCTGAGGACCTTTCTGAAAATAAATCTGTAGGGCAAATAGTCAGCTGCTGCTGGGGGCCTCTACTAGGTAGAACCACCCAAGGAAGCCATGCAACCCACAAGCGATTCTTAATACCATGTTAAGGAGTCACAACCCCTAAGTAGATATATGGGTACCTAGCATAGATAAGGGGATGACAGAACTGAAGATGTATATTCCATCCCCTTCCCCTTTGAAAGAGCCATCAATCTTGGAATCTGTAAGAGAAAGCAGATTAAAACATTATGACAGGAGGCAGAAGGCAGAAGTGTCACCTCACCAGCAGGCAGGTGAAATCTCAAGTGTTTCCATGAGGTGGGTGTGAGAGGACTGAGCAAGGACACGTGTGCAGGCGAGACTGGGCACCTGGGGGACAGTGGAGTTACAGAGGATTCACCGTGTGAAGTTCAAGTTGAAGTTCCACCATCATAACAGTTACTTCATAGTCAAATCCTAGGCAGACATTTTACTAAAGAAGAGAGATTTTGAAGAACGTCAGCATTTTTCTGCTTCTAAACAAAGGTTATGGAAAGTAAGACCTACATGTGCTTGGACATCAAATTTCTGTGTGAAAGGAAAGGGCTTGCCTTCAGAGTGGATGCCATAAGAAGCCACAAAATTAATACTGTCCAGTAGACAGAACACAAAATACCGCTTGAGTAATTAAAATGACAGCAGAAGCATAGCAGTTAGCCAAAAAGACATATCTTACTTGTTTCCAGTTGCATAAAGACACATCCAACTCCTTCTGGATTATGTCTGTTCTCACTGGGTTTATTTTCCTAGTTGGCATCAAAGAGCTCCTGTATAAATTTCCCTGGTGTTGTACAAGAGTTCAATTGGGTTTCCCACCTTCCCTCGACTGAGTATACATGCAGTGTGTATCTACCACCGGTCACTTCTGACTCACCTGAGAACGCACTTTCCTCAACCCTGTCCTCAAAGGACACATGATGAGAGAGAAAACTGTGCTTTTTTAATAATAAAATTTTCATTTAAGAAAAAAGTACAATATTATTTAATTCTTGTAGAAGTCCAGTTAATATGTCTACTTTTTGTCAAGGTTGAAGAAAGGGAAGTTATCAGGGTAATCCTGTGATTACCCTGAGAGATTATACTATACAAAATGTACCTCTTCTCTGGTAACCAAGGCTTATGTTTACAGTTTTCCACCTGAATTGATGCCTTCTTCACTGAAGACTTGTAATAACATTTCACTGAGCTCTTGGTTTCTTCCTTTCCTGCAAGCAACTCTTGTCAAACCTTCCCAACCCTCTTGTCAAACCCCAGAAGTAATTTTGTTTCTGGACTAAGCATCAGAGCCCTAGCTATTTCTGCTATCTGCCCCTCTTTCAGTAACACTCATCCACTGAGAATAAAATCCTTCCTTAAAAATGGAAACCAATGTGCACCTTAGGCCTCAGGTTCTTCTCATTTCTAGACATAGACTTAAACCCATTCTTTTGTAGTCATCAAGCCTGCCCAATGGTGGGGCACTCTCCAACCAGCCACCCTCAGGGCTGTCTTGGAAAGCCATCTTACCCAACATACACTCATTCAACAAACAGCTGTTGAGCTGCCAGGAACTATTCTAGTCACTGGGGCATAACAGTGAACAAGAGACAAAAATTCCCACCCTATGGGGAGTCCATGCCAATGAAATAAAGGCAGGCTGAGGCTTGACACACAGGAAAGTTGCTCTCTGTAGAAGTCCATGTCATAAATGACTCATGGGAATCCCATACTCCTTTCAATTTTTTACTTTGTCTTTTACCCTGTATTCCTGACACTTTGTTTGACATCCAAAATGGAAGGGTATGGAGAAAACTTTGGGAAACAGAATCTGTGATTTCTTCACTCTACCAAAGATTCTATTTAGCCAGACGTTCTGCTTTTTACCACTACCCAAGACTTTATCCTTTGTTTCTAACCAATTTATGGAAAGGACTCTGGTATGAGTATGTTGTGTATGAGGGGGAGACACGAGATTCTATCTTTTCATTCAGTGGCTAACAAGGAGAGGGATTTTTAAGTTTCTCTATATCAAAATGGTTCGTTTAGTCTTTGCAGTAGGATGTTAAAAATATGCAGGCACACTCTTAGAGCGTGTTTTTGATCATAACCCCAATTTTATTGACTTTTAGTCAATCAAAATTGCAAAACAAGAAAGGAAGTTCTTCCTATTAACATGAACTTTGCAAAAAGTTTAGATCCCAGATAGACCTTTACATTCACTAAGTCCAGTGATTCTTCAGACTGAAAGTTTACTGGCGAGTCCATAATATAATCAGGGAACATCGAGGCTCTGGTTGAAGCCTGGGTGGCAGTGGGCTCTGAAGCCTGGCCCACCTCGGCATTCTTGCAGAACCCCAGGGCCCCTGGGAGTGCAGCTTGAAAGCTGTTAATCTAGGTCAAATCCTCTTGTTCATATTTGGAAGAAACTGAGACCCAAGGAGATTAAGTTATTTGCTGAAAGCCATGCAGCCACTTAGCAGTACAGTGAGGACTGAGACTCAGGCCTGATGTCACACATTCTTTCTGCTGTGCCATTTGTTTCATTGAAAATATGAAGGCATCTTGCTGGCTGGCTCTCATTTTCCAGTATTCAAAGAAAAGTATAAAAATCAAAGGGATTCCTATGCTGTGTGACCCAAGTCTGTCTGAATTCAAATCTCCCTGCTTAGCAATTCTGGAGAACCATCTCTCTTGCACTCTGGAGGCGAGTTCTCAGGCTCTGCTCCCTGAGACATGGTGAGGGGCCTATGTGCCTAGAAGCTGGAGGAAGAGGGTGCTGGGAATAGTGAGGGGGAGGGGCAGATTCCTAGACTTCTCTCCTGGCTCTTAGCAAGGGGGTGGGTGGAAGTATTCTTGCCCAAGGAAGCTCTATTTAACAATAGAGGCTTGATAAACTATGCCTGGCAGCATAATTCCCCCTTACTACTCTAAAAATGGCCATAGTGTACCACCTCCCCTTCATAATGCCCACAAACAATATACTAAACCACAAGGCTTGGTGAGTGGGTCCCCAGTAAGGCTGGCCCTTGCTTCTCTTACTCTAAAATTGTGTCATCAGTAAAATTAGTGTGCACTTTTTTTGTGTGTGTGTGAGGAAGATCAGCCCTGAGCTAACATCCATGCCAATCCTCCTCTTTTTGCTGAGGAAGACCGGCCGTGAGCTAACATCTATTGCCAATCCTCCTCCTTTTTTTCCCCTTTTTCTCCCCAAAGCCCCAGTAGATGTATGTCATAGTTGCACATCCTTCTAGTTGCTGTATGTGGGACGCAGCCTCAGCCTGGCCGGAGAAGCGGTGTGTTGGTGCGGGCCCGGGATTCAAACCCGGGCCGCGGGTGGGGGAGCGCGTGCACTTAACCGCTAAGCCACGGGGCCGGTCCCCCGCAGCGTGCACTTTTGACCAGATACCAGATACCACACCTTCACTTCTGACTTCTAGTTGGGGAGAGCACCTGATCAGGGCTTTGCATGGTGTCTGACACTTGAGGACTTCCCAGTTCTTTCCCTGCCCCCATCTTTTATCTTCCAACTTGACCGCCAGGCTCTCTTGCAGTGGGATTTTGGCATGAACAGAGCCTGAGGGTAGGAGAGAGGGGACCTGGGGGTTCGAAGTAACTTACTTTAGCTCCTTTATCTAGGCAGCTTCCTGGTTTATCTGAGCCACAGCCCACTCTCACCCCCCCCCACCGCCTGTCACTGATAGAGCCCTTGCCAGATGCCCTCATAATATTCCCAATAGGCAGCCCTTGGCCTTATCCAGCCTAGGGGGAATGACTTGGCCAGTTTAGCATTAACTCTTCATATTCTAGAAAACTGAAGCCAGAAAGATTTGGTTTCGGTCAAGCCAAAAACACATACACCCAAATTACAGCAGTTCAAGACTATTTGTGAAATGTGTCATTAACATGAAATCTACATTGTCCATCTTTTCAGGAAGAAAATGAGATCCCTGCCAGTGTGTTTGTGAAAGAGCCAGTTTCTGGCTCAGCGGAAGGGAAGGAGGAGCCTGCTGATGAAAACAAGTCTCTGGAGGAAACCTTGCACACCGTGGACCTCTCATCGGATGATGAATTGCCCCACGATGAGGAGGCCCTGGAAGACAGTGCAGAGGAAAAGATGGAAGAAAGTAGGGCAGAGAAAATAAAAAGATCCGGCCTCCGGAAAGTGGATAGCCTCAAGAAAGCATTTTCTCGCCAGAACATTGAGAAAAAGATGAACCAGCTGGGGACAAAGATAGTATCTGTAGAGAGGAGAGAGAAGATTAGGAAATCTCTCATTTCCAATCACCAGAAAATATCTTCAGGGAAAAGCTCCCCCTTCAAGGTCTCTCCCCTCACTTTTGGTCGAAAGAAAGCCCGACAGGGAGAAAGCCCTGCAGAAAATGAGACCAAGTCAGAAGAGATGCCTAGCAGTGACCAGATACAAAATGACCACGAGGAGAGCTCATTTGCAGAGGGTGCGTCGGAGGCGTCCCTCCCCAGTGCCCTGGGGGAAGGGCAGAGCGAGGAGGGGGATGCTGCGAGGGCGGCCTCGAGAGAGAGTAACTCATGCATGGACAGCAACGTCAACTTGACTATTGTGGAAGATGAAGAAGAAGAGTTGGTGGCCCTGGAACAGGCACAGAAGGTGCGCTATGAGGGAGGCTACGTGCTAGCCTCTGAAGAGGCAGAGCAGTCCGATGAGGAGCCGGTGCAGCCCGCTGTGCTCCAGGTGGACCACACCGCCTAAGCTCACAGGCCGCCGCGCCAGCCTGGGCTTCAGCCAGGTGGGCAGCCAGAGCCTAGAAACAAACTCTTGCACCCTCCAGCACCTCCCACTCTCTCTGTGTTATGGTCCGGGCCGTAATCATTTACTACAGAGCAGCAGCACGCTCGCGACCAACATTTACTATGAGCCCCTACCAGGGGCTCCCTTGCTAATTTGTTCTTAGGTTCTTTTTCTGTAGAATTTCTCCGAGATTGCCCAGAAGAAGAAATAGAGCAGTTGAAAAACGCTGATCAATTTGACTTAGAAAAACCAGAGGCTACTTAAGATACTAGTCATGAAATGTGATTCATGTGTTGTCATTCCATAGGCTTGCTAAATAGTGTACCAGTAATATATTGAATTTCCATAGAACTCCGTGAATCTAATTATTCTTCTTAAAGTGTGTGATATATAATGTACATATGTATTTAAGCTAAAGATATTACTTTATATTTTAAGAACACTTTTTTTAAAAGGTAGAAGATAAAGTTCAGTTGGCTATTCACTTAATAGAAACCATTGTTTTATTGAAAATGAAGGAAAAATTGAAAGACGATACTATTCAGCTAATGAAGTAAGATAGGTATAAAAGTTGGAACTATTAGAAAAGGAAAACTAAGAAGTTGGAAAATAAGAGAAACAGAAACAAAGAATGCCAAAGAGAATGAAGACAGAGAGAAAAAAGTATGTGCTTAGAAGTAAAACATTTACAATAGTAGCTCAAGTATTTCACTCCTTGTATAACAATACTAAAGAAGTTCATATATCCTGGAATAATATGTTGTATCTTCACAGTATTTTTCTAATTTTCAAAAGATATAAAAAAACATTTTATTGTGTTAAAGCTGCATTTTTTCCTTAATAAATAAAAGACATGACAAATATTTCTCTAAGGATCTTCAAAAGGATGTTGTCTCTAATATTGGAATAAATGTAAATCTTTGAAATTAATTAATACCTACTGCCATTTGTAGGAAGTTGGATTATACTACTCTTTAATGTAACGTTTTCAAAATTTGAAATAACACTCACACTCCAAATGATGTAATGTGGGTTTATAAGATGTTAAAATCAACAGGTTTGAGAAGGATTCTGTTTTTCCTATTTTTGTACATAATGGTAATTTCATTCCAGGTCATATTTTATTTATATGTTAATTTCACAGAATATGAATATGTTTCTTCTTAAAGCATGCTAGTGTTTATGTAAAAGTGCACATTTATTCAGACAGGATAATTTTTACTACTGCCTAACATTCTACTAACATATTGCTTTATCTATTTTAAATTACAGAATGCTAATGTTTTGAGAAAACTATTATAGGTTAAAGACAGTTGTACCAGGGAGCAAATTCCCTGCCTTCAGTATGTAACACACTGTAAGTAACCTTACGAATATAAGTAATCCAAGACAGTATTCACAAACTATGCTTTGTCTTATAAAAGGGAGAGGATTAACAAATGTATTGTGGCACAACCTCTACAGCTATGTCCTTCTTTTGCAGTAATGTACCCCACATATTAGATTGTTAAACTAACAATGGCTGTGTTAAAGAAGACTAAATAAACCAAAAAGTAAAAAGTATATAACAATGTCGGTTTTTTGGCAGAACAATTTGAGAACAAGCAGAAAGAACTGATTTTCAAACTCTCCTCCAAATGTAGCTGAAATGTTGATTGTTTCAGTCTTGATTTCCACTATTAACTCTGCTTTCTTTTTTCCCTGATCTCATTTAGAAATCCAAACCTCATTCTTCAAGTTTAACTTTCTTGACATCACCTTGCCAGTGCTAGAGAGCATCTGAATTTATTGCCGCAGCTGGATGAATTTGATAGTTCCATCTGCATTTATATTGTTTGGTACCAGACCTTATAATACCTTAAATTGCCCTGCAAACATGAATGTATTGAATTGTACATTCAGTTTATTCACACAGATACACCTTTGTCTTCTGCAGTGCCGTACACTTGGTAGAAGACTTCATTCCACTTGGGGCCCTAAACATGCCTGTTTAACCTTTACGAACTTGCTGTCACTTCTTACAGCCAAGGAATTGGGGGATCCAGAGCTAATGTAATGTTTATATTTCCTTTTCAAAAATGCTTGCTTCATTCATTCCTGTAAACTATCTGCATGCCAGTAAAAAATTACACTCAGGCATCTTTTTAGATTTCCCTGACAATCACATTTACTCTATGTTCCACATTTGAAGCATTAAAATCCTAAGCAATAAAACAGAATTAGGCCAGATAATTGTTGGAAAACACATTCTGTAGGGATTAGAGAGAGCAGCCGTTGTGGAAATGGAAGCTATTTATTCTGTATTATTGTTGAATTATTTGCATACTGGTGAAGCTGCCAGTCCCCAAATTAGATATGTCTTCTTCCCACCCATCCAATAACCCATTCCTAACTTTATGTGCCTGGAGCTCAAGAACTGGATTAGTTTTCCCCCAAAGATTGGTTAGACATTAATAAGCACTGAGATCCATATCTTTAGAAATATAATTCAGAAGTAAGACGCGTCTATTACATGGATCACCAATCTCACAGAAATACAGCAAAGATGTCACTTTTTTACAAGATTTTATTTTTTAAAATATGTAGTCATATATATTTCACCAGGAATATTTTCATCTTTCCACTTAGGAATCTAGTGTATGGCTGAATTTCTTTTTATACATGAAAATGAAAGACCTACACTAAGGCAAGTTCTGTACAAAATAAAGATTTTTCACATTTATTGCATAAGGAAAGCCCCAGATGTTTCTGCTTTTAGCACTGCTCATGCAGAAGATCAAGGTTTGAACCTCATGTGGGTCAGTCCACTATCAGGAAACGAGAAGCTGCTTCTAGAGAGCCAAGTTGCTAGTGTAAGTAAAGGTTATAATGAAAGTCATTTCCTACATTAAGACACTAATGCCCAAACCCAGTTAATTCTTGCTCAAAAGTTTGTTTACAGCCCTACAGCCCAAGTCTAAGTGATTTTTTATTGGAGATTGGGAATATGAGGAATTGCGGTACAGACAGCAATCATTAACAGTTCCATAGCAACCACAAGTCTTTTCCTAAAAACCAAGACTCTGACACTGCAAAACAAGTTTCAGATGCAATTGGCATTGTGACCTTTTTTCTGCCTGATCTGGGTGTCAAGATAAAGACTTCTGCAGCCAGGAACTCATTCCTAAAGGGAACAGGCAGTAACCCACATTGTTAAAAATACATTCATCTTATTTTTGTTTTAACCATTGCATTACCCTGTAGTATTTGAAACTCTAAAATTATTTTTAACTCTCCAATCAAATTGCCCCAATTAAGAAGCCACACACTCAGCAAAACAGCTTAATGTTCATACATTTAAAGACTTTCCACCGAAAAATCAATTCATTGAATATTTATTGAGCAATACAACCATTCGTCCCTCCCATTTGCTAGAATTCTTAGTGCCCAAAGCAATAAGACACAAGCGTGGGGGAGAGGAAACCAACATTTTTGATAGCTTACTTTCCACCAGGCTGGGCACTCTAATGGTCTGGAGTGCTGTGTACCTACCACACGCTAGACATGAGCATTATTTCATTGAATCAAGCAAATCCTATTAAGAAAGTACTGTTTTTATACCTGAGACTTTTGAAGTTAATTTACTCCCACTAAGATGGAGGTAAGATGGGGGTGGAAGGGAACTCCAGAGTTCTTAACCACTCTAAGTTCTCACCCATCGTGTTGTAATTTAACTATTTTTTCCTTTGAAGGTCACAGAGTTAAAAGACTTGTCCCAGTTCACATAACTGGTGAGTGTCAGAGTCAATGCCCAACCCCAGTCTGAAATCCAGGCTGCTGCCAAAACAGACTCCAAATTATATCAGCCAGCTGTGCTTAATTATGAATCACTTTATAAGCTCTCAGATGGTATAGTATTAATTTCATTTTATCACTCCTTACACAGCATCACATACAGTTGCACTTTGTAAATGATTTTGACAATTGTCATACCAATGGTAAGAAAAAGACAGCTCACGGTTCTTGGGGAACCACAGAGAGGCAATTATTCAGGTCTGCTGATGCCACAGAGTTCCACAGAGCTCCTGAGCTCCTTGGTATCATCCATTGGCAGTAGCTGTAGGGTTCACTTTGGGGCATGGTTTAATAAGGGCAAGCTGTCAACAGAGATACATACTGGAATCAGCTAATTCAAAGATGGCACAAGAAGTCTGCCTCAAACTCTTTACGTTTAAGGGGTCACATCCCAGTGTCCTGTTAGAGAAATCACTACATCCTGCCCAGACACATCCTCTCCTAGGCTCAAAAAAGGAGCAAACGGCAAATCAGCATGGGGGACAGGGGAGTGTGGAGGTTCAGGAAGTAGGGTCAACCTTGAGGATATGGAGACTAGCCTCTGAATATAATTCCTGCAAAATCGTCCAGCTGTCTTCTCAGGACCACAGGAGCTAGGTCAAGCAAATGCTGGTATCTCCATTTCTGTGGGCAATCAAAGAAAACCCTCTAGCCCAGCCCTCATTCATCAAGATGTATGCTGCAGGCAGTGGCTTCTTCCAAAGGCTTTGGCAGAGGTCACAAACTCAAAAGCTAAAGGGCTCACATGGGAGTAAAATGGTTTGAGGAGGTGGCAGCAATTGTGACAGGGGTGTTACACGTGGGCTATGTCCTCTCTGGTGGGGCACCCTATAATTCATCTGCCCAGACCGGTGCCTTTTCTCTAATTCCCAAAAAGGGATGGTACATTCTAGGAGCCACGCGGGATTGTGGTAAATCGGCAGCCGCTACCCAACTCCAGTTGCCATGTAGGAAATTGGGCCCAGTGTTGCCAAAACTTCAACTTCTTTTAACAAGAGCCAAAATTCAGATTTCTTTTTACACAAAAATCTCCTGGCTTTTAATTTTTGGCAACAACCCCAATGATTTTAAATATTGTGTGAACCAATTGAAACTGTCTGCTCCCTAGATGTAGCGTGAGCAGCGACCATGGGTTTCCAACTCCTGGTCTGTCGAGATGCAGACTCTTGGGTTCTCCTCCCCTAGCCTGAGGCACAGACATGAGAATAGAAAGCTAGTAACAAGATTGGATCTGCCTTGAGAAAAAGCATAAAAACCTTCTTAGGAAAATGTAAAATGCAAAAATACCCTTGCCAGAACTCGTAGGAAAATTTTTCTTGCCGTTTACTGAACTTGTGAAGAGAGTGCTGCTAATGCTGCATGGTTAATGCACTGAGGAGACAGTCACCAATCACACTGAAAGGTGGTTG